GAAGCTCAAGCTCAGATATTATGAAAAGTAAAAAGACTTTGGAGGAGCGATTTGATGATCTCAGCAAGACCACAGTGCCAGCACTTCAGGTTGGTTCATTTGTCAAGTTTATTTCAACTTTTTCGATTGAGAATTTAAGCCCAGGCTTCGTGACAACCAGTGAAATAGACACACGCCTTTGGACAATAGAAGGACTAACTGAAAATCTCCAAGCTGGTTTGAAAGCAGAATTTCTGATCTGTCCAAAATCAAAGAGTGAAGAGGAGCTTACAAATAGAGGTCAGAGTAAATCTGACGTCAAAGTGCTCATAGAACCCGCTGAAGATGTAGCAAGTTTAATAAATAATGTGAACGGAGAGGAAAATTTTCAAGTGAAGTTTGTTCCCAAAGTCCCTGGAACCTACAGCATCACAGTCAAAATAAATGGGGACAAACTTGTTACCAGTCCTCTCAGGGTCTACGTGAAGGAACGACGCATTGATGTTGTAGGAGAGTTGGTACTAAAGGGAGAAATTCCTAAAGAATCAAACGGGATTGCGGTCAACAGCGAAGGAACAATCGCTGTAAGTGACATTGAAAAACACTGTATTCTAATATTTGATAAGGATGGAAATTTTGTGCGAAAATGTGGCTGCCATGGGCAGCTGAAAGAACCAGCTGGAGTCACATTTTTGAATAATGACGAGCTACTGGTCCTGGATGAAAAGAATCACTGCATTCAACAATTCAATGTACAGACAGGAAACTTTGTGAAGAGCTTTGGAAAGGAAGGGACTGGAGATGGCGAATTTCAGAGTCCCCAAGGTATTTGTGTGAATGATAAAGGACATATTGTTGTAGTGGATTTAAGTCACATCAGAATCCAGGTCTTGAATAAAGATGGTACATTCATGTTCAAATTTGGAGACAATGCCCATGGAAAACTTGACACACCTAGTGGATGCATTTATCACAAAAACAAGTTCATTGTATCTGACATAGAAAACCATTGTTTGAAAGTGTTTGACAGTTCAGGGAAGTTCTTGTACAAGTTTGGAGAAGAAGGTGAAGCAGATGGACAGTTTTCATTTCCATGGGGTTTGTGTATTGAGAAATATGGCGACCATCACAGTCTTTTGGTGTGTGACTTTAGCAATGGACGCATTCAGCAGTTTACAATGGAAGGTCGCTTTGTTGGCAAAACTGTTACTACGCTAGGAAATCCGAAAGCAATAGCTACAACACCTGATGGTCGTATTTTGGTGTGTAACTGTTCGGATGGAAAAATTTATTTCTTGAAATAGACGTTGAAAAAAATGTTTGTTTAAAATGGAATAATAATTAAGGAATTACAAAATAATAACTGTCATCATCACACTCAGCAAATAATGTGTACAATGAATATGATTTGCTCAGGGATCCTACAGGCGCGTGCATTAAACATCGAAATATTACTAACATGAACTTCATCATGTCTAGACGGACAGAGCTGGATAACGTCTGTGCACGCACTAGGCTTTGCCGCGGAAAACGGACTTAAGTAGTTTAAGGCCTGGGTCAGGAGATTAAATTGCCTTAAGAAAATAAACAGCCGTATCTCCATAAATATACAGCTGATTGCGCTGAAACTTTCATGGACGATAGATTTCCATACGAACTTTTACCTTTTGGCAACAATGCCAACGATGACAGTCACGTGTCGGGTCACGTGATCCAAACGCTACTCAATCGGTTTTTATCGGAATTGGTAAGATTTACACACGCTCGTTACTGATCAATGAATGAGAAAAATACTCATTAAAAAATGCTAGCCATCTACGTTTGGAATGAATTTCCTTTGTTCCTTAAAAAACAGATTCGAGATTTTTAGGAGATGAGAAGGAACTTTTCTCAACTTAATGGTCTTTAGATTGTTATCAACTCTACTCGGCACTTCATTCCAAACGTGAAGATAAAGTTTATCAACACCTTCTTCCATTTCGCTAAAAATAACTGCTTGAAATGGAAACTTCGGCACCGGCGATAACATTCTGACTACCCCTTTATGAACTACGAAAGAAGCAGCCATTTTGTTTCTTTTCGAACATAATACATGAATAAGACTTGACGACCACATTATACCGCTGACCAAGAAGGAGCAAATTAAATATGATTACAGTCGTGTGAAGCGTCTGAAGGTCGATCACCGGACAATCTCTGATGGGAAAGTAAAACTGCTGGCTTCTCAAGCCAAAAAACGAACGAATTATCATTTACTGTTCTAGTATAGAATGTTTTCAACTCCTGTAATTGTAAGGATTCTGAAATACTTCAATAACATTACTTCAAATTGTTTGTTGCTTTGTTCGCAATTTCCGCGTCCGTGACCGAAAGGAAATAAAAGATGCTAAATTAAATTAAGAGATGTACTGTGGGACTCACTGCATGGGTTATTGTTTCCCATGTAGTCAAATACTGATACGACAGCTTTAATGTTTCTCTTCACACGACAGCGAAATCAACCCACAACATGTAACAAAATTGAGCTGCAGGAGGGAGGTGGAAGGGAGAAATAACTGCTAGTGTTAGTGCTCCATAGGTTTAAAAATTATAGCCCCTTAAGTCTTATGAAAAATCTGTTGGTAACAAATGAACTG